TGGGAGTTGAAGTCCACTCATCTTAAAGTGGCCAAGTTTGGACAACACTGCTCTAAATAAAAGAACTAAAAAGAGTACCTTCTTTCTAGCCCACCACTACAAATCTTCCTCAAATCCAGGTAAAAAAAAAACAAAAAACAGTTTCCCCATATTTTACATCATCACATCATTCAGCCATTCTCAACAATCAAAAGACAATCTTTGAAGGAAGGTTAAGGCAAGACAGCATCACCCAGTGGGCTTTATGACAAAAGATGGCATAGATGGTAATGTATGATCCCAATTACAACACTACTGGCTCTCAGAAATGACCCCACCAGCAGTTCTTCTTTGAAAAACTGCTCATCCACTGCACGGTTTAACAAAAGTGTTAAATCAGTGAAATCTTGTATATTCATGTGGCACCATTCTCAGTCCTGGGCAGCTGACTGGTTGTGAACTGGAAGGATCTTAAGTTGTGTTCCCAAGCTCTCTCTGACAGATAGAAGTTCCTCAGTGTGCAGAGGGAAGGAATATTTGAAAATCTTTCTTGTATCCTAATCTTCTCCCTTCTGATGCCCTCTTGCTATGCTGGATTTAAACTCCCCTAATTTCTTTTGGCCATACTGGGTGGGAATCAGTAGAGGGGGATCACAATACAGCAGCAAAGCACCAGATCTGAGAAGGCTACTCTGAGTGAACAATTAAGATTTTGGCTAAGAAGGAAAAAGGATTGTACCGTCCTTCGTAAGATCAAGTTGAGTAATATCTTGCCCGCGTTCATCAGAAACCACAGCTTTGTAGACTCCTTTATCTGCCTTGGTAATCTAGCAAAATATAGACATAGCATCTGGGTTTGCACAACACATTAAAGCCTAAATCCAGGTTAAATCCCCCCTCCCCCACTTTCTAAACTGGCACAAAACTGGAAAAAAACTGCAAAGAAATAAATCTCCAACTCTCTTCTTTCATTATGACATCCTATTTCTTTCCTATTTTGGTATGTAATTTTATTAATTTAATTATTAACAGTTACTTAAGCTATACTTACTCTTTTAATCTGTAGGATTCCAGCTCCTGTGTTTGGATTATATTGACCATCTGGGCGGGCTTTGCTATCAAACAACCATGTAAAAGAAGTTTCCTTCTTCATGTTTGTTGCCTGAAGGAAGGAAGGAAGGAAGGAAGGAAGGAAGGAAGGAAGGAAGGAAGGAAGGAAGGAAGGAAGGAAGGAAGGAAGGAAGGAAGGAGAAAAAAATCCTCTTTAACTGTGGCATGTGATTCCTAATGCCTTAACCACTACACCAAACTGGCTCTCATATATATATTATAAGAAGATTCCCCCCCCAAGTATATTTATTTTGATGCATGCGTGCCCACTAAATTTTTTGGGGCTGCATTTTGGCAGTTATAAATCTTGTTACAAAAATTTGACTTCCAGCACATTAACTTGATACCGTTTGGAAAACATGACCGGGTTAAGTTATATTGAATGAATTCATTCATCATTCCTAGCTCAAAGAAGAAAGTTTAGCCCTTTCCAGTGACACTCACTTTTGCACTTTACCCTGGCAGAGACATTGTGAAAGTTGCCCTCTAGGGCCAAATAATTCCTGGGGTAGGAAATTCACTGGAGGAATGCCTACGCCTTGGGAAGAAAGGATTAAATTTGCCCCATGTGCCATGCTCCACATTCTGTTCATGCCTCGGCCTCCACCCACCCCATCCCCAGCTTGCCATGGGTGGAAATGACTTTGTAAAACAGGAACTGTTCATAGCAGTCCTGTAATTAAACTCCTATCCATCATGGCCTCCAGCACCTGATCAAATGCGGAAGACAGCTCAAATTGCAAAAATAGTTTTGTTTGGTGAAGTGCGACTATGGGGAAAGAAGTGTTTACCTTGCAAGTCAGCAGGACTTCACAATCCTCAGTGACCTTCCATGCCAGTTGTTCAATAAAATGAGGACCTGTGAAAGGGGGAGAAAAAAATACCAACTCTGAACATCCTTTGATGGCTTGGTTGTTTCTTAGCATGCCACCTGGTGATCAATCTTATCCAAGCACCTTTTGGATGAACTTCTTGTGGCTCATGATACCTCAGACTTCCCCAACTTGGCATCTACCATATAGTGGATTTCCACACTCGTAATCCATAGCCGGTACATGCTCTAACTCAGTGTTTCTCAACCTCAGCAATTTTAAGAGGGGTGGACTTCAACTCCCAGAATTCCCCAGCCAGCATGGCTGGCTGGGGAATTCTGGGAGTTGAAGTCCACACCTCTTGAAGTTGCTGAGGTTGAGAAACACTGCTCTAACTGTTAATTTAGGGAAAGCTGCTGTATCATTTTTCTTCCTTTCCAGTCCACCAACAGGAGAAGTGATCAGGTCAACGGGGAAGGAAACTGTGTGAGCAAAGTGCTCAAGATGGAATAGGATGCCAGTGTGGGAAACTGAGGAAAGATTGAATATGTCCATCTTGCAAATGCTCTCAGTGTATCTGGGACCCTTCAGCCCTTCATTGAAAATATCACATGACCCCCCAAATATTTAAACCCCTCAACGATGGCCAGTTTTCTTCGCTTGATGAAGTTCCCGTCTGCAGGACAAACAAAAGCAATGACATAATCAAAAGCCTTAGGAAAAGACCAAGTGGCTGGATACAGAAATAAATAAGGAATAGAAAGGCGTACTGGATGAAAAGGACAAATACATAACTTTATAAGCTTATGGACAGATGGAAGAATAATGAAATACCCCAGTAGTAATAGTGGATACTAAATTCAACGGGAGCTTATCTGTTTATTTAATCAGTGACGTCATCAGGTTGCTCCAGAAGTGACGCCATCAGGTTGTGCTGGTTATGACATGCGTAACCCTAACCCTCCCCC